GTTGTAGAGGAACCAGCTGTTAATAATGATAGAAGGTACATCCCAGGAAGTAGAACACAATTGGCACATTTAGTGATAGATAATGGAAAGTTCAGGAGAGCAACTAGTAAGGAAGAAATGGATTAGAGCATAGCAAGATACATTCTATCAGGTAGGTTGAACATAGTAATTAGCAATCTATAATTAGCAACTTTGGTACATAGACTGGCATATAGTTTGTAGCAGGAAAGCCTGCCATCAATTAGCCTGTCTTTCCCCAATTAATATTGGTTTAAGAGCACACTTCAGGCCAGGGACAGTGGCTCACACCTGTAATCCCAGCACTTTGGGAGGCCGAAGCTGGTGGAGGTCAAAAATTCGAGACCATCCTGGACAACATGGTGAAACCCTATCTCTATTAAAAATACAAAAATTGGTTGGGCTTGGTGGTGGGCGCCTGTAATTCCAGCTACTAGGGAAGCTGAGGCAGGAGAATCACTTGCACCTGGGAGACAGAGGTTGTGGTGAGCCGAGATAGTGGCCATTGCACTCCAGCCTGGGAGACAAGAGCGAAATTCCATCTCAAATAAACAAAACAACAACAACAAAAAAACCAGACTTCAGTTCCAAGAATTTTAGAGAGAAGGCATTAAAGGCATTAGAATGGCAAGAGTAAGGCAGGACCTTATCCTAGCTTTCTGGGGAGATCACTGAGATAGTAAGTTCAGCATAGAAAATAAGATGTGAATCACTTAACCAGGACTGGCGTGTTAATTTGGGAGGTGGTCTTACAAATAATGCAGGGGTTTAGTTCCTATTATAAGGATCCATGTTTTCTGAGGTCTGAAGTTTTTACGTATGGGTAGGGTTTCTATAAGTGGGTATAAAAGGAAGTATTTTGCTAGAGGAGGTGGCCCATGCCGGTAATCCCAGTAGTTTGGGAGGCTGAAGTGGGAGGATCGCTTGAGGCCAGGAGTTTTGAGACCAGCCTGGGCAACATAGTGAGACCTTTTCTCTACAAGAATAAAAATTAAAAAATTAGCCAGGCATAGGAATTCACACATGCAGTCCCAGCTACTTAGGAAGCTAAGGCAAGAGGATTGCTTGAGCTCAGGAGTTGGAGGTTGCAGTGAGCTATTATCACACCACTCCAACCTGGTGAAAGAGCGAGACCCTATCTCTGACAACAACAAAAAACTAAAACGTTTTACTGACAAATACCACAAACATCATTAAACCTATAACAATAATGTTATATTTTATTATTAACTGCTTGACATAACTCTAAAGTGCTTTTTTCTTCTAAAATATTTTGGCTGCATGCTACTTGATTATATTTTAGTATAGCAATATTTTATAATACTTTTTTTTGTATATTGATAGCTTTGAAAGTTTTCTTTCAGTTTTACAAGTATTTATTACTAATGACATCCTAGCATGAAATCTGACACATTGCAATGCATAAAAAAGATGTACTTGCTGTTTTTAGTACTGCCATGGTTTTGTGCCCTAGAAGCACAGGAATTCTCATAAATCTTGTACATTTCCAATCAAAAGAAAAAAATGTAAAGGGGTTTATAGTTGTATATGCTGCTGCATTGTTCAGTATACTTCTGAAAAGAGAGAATTTCCATTTTGACTAGGATTTGATAAGGATCAAATCTTTTCCTTATGCTTTATGCTTTTCGTACTAAGTATATTAGTTTGCTATTGTTGCATAACAGATCACCACAAACTTCGAGTCTTAAAACAATACATCATGTTTATCTCACAGCTTGTATGAGTGAGGAGTCCAGCTACAAACTGAGTCTTTTGCTCAGGGTTTCACTGGATTATAATCAAGGTGCTTGCCAGACTGTATGCTTATCTGGAGGTTTGACTAAGGAAGAATCCACTTGTAGGCTTTTTCAGGATGCTGGAAGAATTCATTTCTCTGTCTGACTGAAGGCCCTAGCTTGTTACTAGTTGTCCATTGGGGGCTGCCCTCAGGTCCTAGAGGCTGTCCACAGTTCTCTGCCACATAGCTCTCTGCAAAGGCATTTTACAATATGGCTGTTTGCTTAAGGGCGAATTTCTCACTTCAGTTTGCTAAGATAGTCTTATATAACGTAATGTAATCACAATACTGATATCCTAGCACCTTTGCTTGCTAACGTAACCTGATCAAGGAATGACATCTTATTAATTTGCCGTAGGCAAAATATGATGGAAAGCAAGTCACAGGTTCCAATCATGCTCCAAGAAAGGGGATTATATAAGAGTATACCTTATTGGGAATCACCTTTGGGTGTACATGTACAATAATTTTCCACAGAGAAGCTTCTGTACATTTTGTTTTCTTCTCACCACTTACATAGTTCTGTTGCCATATGTCTAGACACATTCATATCATGATATGACCTCTAGCCCTACACTTTCCTGTCACTATGCCAGGTAAGTCACTATAGTAGGTATTTTTTCTAGTGTTATACCTGGAAGTTTCTTGCAATGGTTAGCAATGACCTAGCATAACATGAAAGCGACCAGGAATCACTCACTATCCCTCTAGAGTCAATCTAAAGATATTCTTAATTCAAATTCCCCTTGGCTGGGTCCCAAAAACACACATGGCCATCTCAATACCACTTCATTTCAGGGGAAGGGTGACAGAGGGAAAGTAAGAGCGGAAAGAGATAGTCTTAACCAATTGCAACTAAAATTTTTTTTTGTTGTGGATTTTATAAAAACATGTGACCACGTGAAAACATATTTTCCAGGGCCCCAAGAGTGGACTGAAATAAGTGAGGAATTTGGAAATTAAGTTTCATGAGCTTTATAGGAAATCCATTTCAAGTTGGCATTTATTTATTAACTTACTTGATAATTGTTCTCTGAATCTGAAGTGATGGCCAGGATTTTAAAACATGTGAACATTCTTATCCAATGAACTAGTTATAAATAAATGAAGAAAAAAACAGGAGCCAAGAGTTCCCAAGAAACTAAGTAATCAGGCAGAGCCTACCCACTATACATCAGATAAAGATTCTAACCACTAGAGTTTAACATATGTGGATTTAATTTATGAAAAACAATGAAAATCCATTCCTTTCCCTTAGAGCAGCATTTATTGTGCAATCATTGTGTTTCAGAGCTTCTTTTAGTTTTTTGCATGTATTTAAGTTATGTGCTACTTAAATTTGTGGCACATATAGTCTAAATTTTGTTTTGAAAAGTTAATTGGTGATTGTGGCAGGTACTGCAGTTTTGTGACCAAAAAGGTCAGAAAAAGGTCTCTTTTCCTTTCTTCTTCCTCCCTATCCCAAAAATAAAAAATAGAAAAAGCCTTCAATTTTTTTTAGTTATCAGATTGCTAAGTGTTCACAGAAATTGAGCCCTGTCCCACAAGACAAATTATTCCCTTAAAGTGTTCAGGATAATCTTCTTTGCTAGTGATTTGTTTAGGGTCAGTCATGTGTCCCTGTTCTAGCCAATTTAAGGGGAAGTACTGAGAGTTATGGGAAAGAGAGATTCATAACGAGAAATGACCCTTTCCTTCTGCCTTTTACCCCTAGAATGGTGACAGCCAACTTCTAGTCAGAAAAAAGAAAGCCTAGTATAATCAGAAAACCTGAATCGAAGCTCTGACTTAACTGATTCTGCATGCCTACCTCTGGACATCCTATAACATGAGATGGAAAAATGCCACTTCTAGTTTGACATTTTTATTCCTTACAACAGAACCCCTCCTAATAGAAACAATGATGTATAAAATAAAAGTCAGACAAACACACACACACATATAACCTTTATTCTGTTTTGTCTTAATACACGCACAATATGAGTTTATTTTGGTAATTTGGAATTACAGGAATTCACAAGGAAGAGATTTTTAAGAAATCACGTAGATAATTATATTAACAGTATATATTTATCTATTGCTACTATGCATACATTTTATATAACTTTTAAAGTTAGACTAATTGTTTTAAACTTGATTCCTAATAATCATAAAAATAAGCAAGATTAGATTGAATCTGGCTTTTTCTTTTAATATTTCTTTTATTCATATAAGCACAATGTATAGTAATTAGAAAAGCCCAAGGCATTGGTTCATTGTAGGAAAGTGGACCACAGGTAAAATAGATGGAGTTCTAGAAGTATTTTAACTGCCTAAAAATATTATCTGTTTATGACTACCACCTAAGTTCTAAGACAAGGTCACTCTCAGGAAATTTCAAACTCACTTATGCTATGTTCCCTGGTAGATAATGTTTGTGGTACCTTCCCCAGAGTATTTTTTTAGCTACTATATTTCTGTTGACTAGGCTTAAATTGAACTAATGTAGACTTTGTTAAATTTACTGTCATTAATGTCACTCCAGTACTAAACTGAATTGCTAAAAGAAATTCCATTTTTAACTAGTTTTATAAGCTAAGGAAGAGAAACAAAGATAGAATCTCAAATATCTGATGTATTAGACTGACTCTGTAGAACATTTCCTTTTTTACAAGGAGTCCTCACCTTTTATTATAATAAGACATAAAATAAATGATTGTAGTATCAAATATGAAATATTGTCTGTTGAGTGGATTATCTTTAATTTCAAAGCCATATTTTTCTTTTGTGCTATAAATTTTAGTTTATACATTACATTATAATATATAATTATACATTATAATTTATGGACCACAAAATTCATATAGAATAATTATTTCTGTTATGTTTTTTTATTACATATTGAACCTTAAGAGAGTTTCTTGGTTTGAAAACAATAAGCATATTGAAGCAATCTTGTTTCAATATTTACATTTTTATGTTTGCATATAAACTGATGAATAGATTCTGTTATATTTTTATTGTAATAGACTTTTTTATGTATATACAAAGTCAACTAGGACTTCTTAACCTTTTTTTGTCCTATGAGCTGCTGTGGCAGTCTGGTCCATCCCTCTCAGGATTGTGTTTTTAAATGCATAAAATAATACAAACAGGCAAACAGGACTAAAATTAAAAAATACAACTCTCTCTCTCTCTCTATATATATATGTGTGTGTGTGTGTATATATATATATTTTTGCATGGAATGTAGGTTAAGAACCCCTGAGTCAAGATTTTGAATAGCCCTTCAGTTAATGTGTAAAAAAATATGCTCGAGGCAATTCCTAAGAGAGATCCATGAGCACACAAGAAGAACCAAGCTGAGATACATTCATTAAACTTGTGTGTGATAAAGCCCTTAGACTGTATCTGTACAAGTGTGTTATTTTTGCTTTTAAATCCCAGAAGTAAGAATTATCAGTTAAGGAAAACGTATATGATAGAGACTTAGAGAACATTGGTTTTGTTTCAACTTATTTACATCCCTGTGTTATCTACAAGAACTATAAAATCTTAGAATGAGTATACATGCCAACTTTGAGCATTTTAGCACACTACAGAATTTTAGCCTTGTCCAATTCAACTGTAGAACTGGACCATGAATTGGTTAATTAAAGGTACGAGTTTAATGAAAAAGAAGCTATGAATGAAAGAGTGAGTACGCAGAGGGAGTTCAATTGAGACAGAATGGAAAATAAGGTAGGATGTGAAACAAACAACAACTCAACACTGTAAAACTGAAGTATGAGAGGAGAAAATCAAAGAAAGAAAGGACTTACCATTAGTTGGCAATTTACTTTCCACAATACCACACACCTGGAGTATTTAGAAATTACATTTCATCTTTTGTGTGGCACTACATAGCTCATGTAAATATGATAGTATCTTACCTATTTTAAAAATGTTGAATAGCTTAATTTCTTTTAAGACTCTTATCATGTTTTTCACATTAAATGGGTATTATACTCCCATTATTTTCATCCCTTCCCATTTTTCATAGAAGAAATAGACACAAGCCTGAATTATATAAAGAGGTCTTGTTGTGCAGACATATTTTGGAAACCATACTATTCAATGTGAATATCAGTAGGTGTTAGTTGTGCCACGGGCTGCTGTGGCAGTCTAGTCTATCCCCTTAAGATTGTGTTTTTTAAATGCACAAAATAATACAAATAGGAGGGAAATAAAAATATTACATGGAAATATAGTGTTGTGCATAGACTGTAGGTTAAGAAACCCTGCATCAAGATCTTTCCCTCCTTCCCCCAACACGCTCTGTCTTCTTTGATCTGTACAGACTGAAGCTGTAGTTTTCTCTCCAGAGTTCCTTTTATGTATCAAGCATCTTTTTGCTTGTGCATTTGCTTAATTTTGTTTTCATTTTTCTCAGTTATTTACGAAATATGGATTTAGTGAGATCAAGGGATAGACAAAAAATTCTTCACATTATTAAAATAGAGGGCGTATTATGCATAGAGCATACTCAGTATGAGTATTTTCTTAGTTGAATTTGGAAACATTGTTATTTTACGGCAGTTAATTGCCACAAACTCCATAGACTATACAGCCTAGAGAGGAATGTTCTAAACCCCTGTCCAAATCCTAACCCCTCTAAAATTTCCCTTTATATAGAGGCACTTCACAACCTGTACCACATAAATAGGATGAAGGAGAACTACTCATGGTCTTATCAGGTTGGTGGAGTGGTTGGTGGGGTTGGTGACTGACTCCTCCAAAGGTCGGAATGCTTTTGAAGCCAAAGAGAAAAACAGATCCATTTGTTTTTTTTTTTTTTTCGTTTTAACTGCAGGAGGGAAAGTTGATCTTATGGGCAAGGGGCTCTGTGCTCTATGTACTATATAGCATAAAACTCTAATTGCTAATATGCCCCTTTTGGAGAAAAACTCACCAAAGCATGCTGAGTTTAGACCTGTGTTGTGGTTTCTCGCCTTTGATTTTTTGGCATTCTTGTGCCTTAGGCTGCAGGTATTTTAAATATTTGTACATTATTATGTGAAGAGAAAGTGATAAGAAACCTACATAATGTGTTATATGAGGTCAGAAAAGGCAGAGATTAATTTAGAAGTTGATGATGACAAGAAAATATTTTAGCATTTTTCCTGAAGATTTTTCCTTAATAATTGAGGCTCTGAAAATGGAGGTTCTAAAAGAATGACAACTTAAGTGTAAATCCTGCTTTGTTTGTATGTAAACATGCTCTAACATTTGTGTTGATATTCCCAGATGGAGAGATTCATGACTTTACCCTTCTTCATATGACTTCTTGTGTAGTCTATCAATCACAGAGAAAAATATCCATAGATAAGTGGATCAAAGCATGGGTTTAAAAAGGCAAAGAGAAAGAAGAAGTGATTTACTGGGTCTGACACCCTGTTTAACATTTCAGGATCAAACCAATACCAGATTCCTAGGACATAGTAGGGAGTCCAGCAGACAGTGAATGAAGTGGCAAATGCAACTGTCATTTTTAGAGTCTTCAGCCGTGCTCTTGGTATATTGTTCTTGGACTGATTCAGTTGTAGTTCTATTGGATAGAGAAAAGAGCAGGTGTTTAAAGATCAGTTTTCTCATGAAACCAAAGTGGACAAAAAGGAAAACAGCATCACTAATTCAACTTTATCAATGGGAGAAAATTTCCAGTATTTTAAATAATAATAATTTGTTTGAAAAGCATGTTTTAATGAGAGTTTTCCACTATGTCACATAATGAATAGAAAATGTTGAAGACGATAGTGCTCCTATTTCTGCCAAACTAATCTGAATTTGAAGTATGGGATACTCAAACTCTTAACATATAAATTTAAGAGAGTAGATGAGGTTGAGCTCAGTTGAATTCTTTTTTAAAAAAAATATTTTTTTTTATTTTAATAGGTTTTTTTGGTGGGCTGATGGTGTTTGGCTACATGAAAAGTTCTTTGATGGTGAGTTCTGAGATCTCTGTGTATGCTGTACCAAATGTCTAGTCTTTTATCCCTTGCCATCCCCCCTTAGTTTCCAAAGTTCAGTGTATCATCGTTATGCCTTTGCATCATCATAGCTTAGCTTCCACATATGAATAGAACATATGATGTTTGGTTTTCTATTCCTGAGTTACTTCACTTAGAATAATAGTCTCCAATTCCATCCAGGTTGCTGCAAATGCCATTATTTCATTCCTTTTTTATCACTGAGCAGTATTCCATAGTACATATATACCACATATTTTTATCCACTCATTGATTGATGGGCATTTGGGCTGGTTCTATATTTTTGCAATTGCAAACTGTGCTGCTGTAAACATTCCTAGGCAAGTATCTTTTTCATATAATGCCATTTTCCCCCCCGGGTAGATACCTAGTAGTGGGATTGCTGGATCAAACAATGGTTCTACTTTTAGTTCTTTAAGGAATCTCCACACTGTTTTCCATGGTGGTTGCACTAGTTAACATTCCCACCAACAGTGTAGAAGTGTTCCCTTTTCACTGCATCCCTGCAAACATCTATTATTTTTTGATTTTTTGATTATGGCCATTCTTGCAGGAGTGAGGTGGTATCACACTGTGGTTTTGATTTGCATTTCCCTGATCATTAGTGAGGTTGAGCATTTTCCCCTATGCTTCTTGGCCATTTGTATATCTTCTTTTGAGAATTGTCTATTCATGTCTATTCGATAGTATTGTTTGTTTTCTTCTTGCTGATTTGTTTGAGTTCTCTGTAGATTCTGGGATTAGTCCTTTGTCAGAAGTACAGATTGTGAAGATTTTCTCCCACTCTGTGGGTCGTCTGTTAACTTGCTGATTATTTCTTTTGCTGTGCAGAAGCTTTTTAGTTTAATTAAGTACCATCTATGTATCTTTGTTTTTGTTGCATTTGCTTTTGGGCTGTTAGTCATGAACTCTTTGCCTAAGCCAATGTCTCGAAGGGTTTCCAATGTTATCTTCTAGAATCTTTATGGTTTCAGGTCTTAGATTTCAGTCTTTGATTCATCTTGAGTTGATTTTTGTATAAGGTGAGAGATGAGGATCCAGTTTCATTCTTCTACACATGGCTAGCCAATTATCCCAGCACCATTTGTTGAATAGGATGTCCTTTCCTCACTCTATATTTTTGTTTGCTTTGTGAATTCTGACTTCAAAACAAAATTATGTTCACTGAGTATCTTTGATACTAAGGATAGTAAGTATCATGTGTGGATGAAAATGTACTACCCCAAATTATCTATCTCAACTGTGTGCTTCTTTCTATGATAGCTGAAATAATTTCACTTTTCATATTAATAGAGCCTTTAAAGTTCATAGGTTACACTTGTGAAGAAATTTGCTGGAAATTAATGGAATTACTGACTTTTTACAGTCAGGCTGCCTACCTGAAATTTTGAACTTAGTTCTTAAAGGTAAAAAGGTGCAATTCTGAAGTGCTCAAAATCTGTTCTTGTATTTCATAATAGAGAACTTCTGTGTTAAGTAAGAAATACTCTTCACATACTATATTTTTTTTTGAGGGAAACAGATAATGCTATTCAGAAATAATCATTTTGAAATTTCTTATTAATTGGTCACCAAAGAGTGGACATATAGAGGAAAACATTTACCTGCATGGTGTTTTACTTATGAAATTATTTTTTGTCTAGAAATATTAAAGTAATTTATTAAATACAGACTGATTATGGATTTTTTGGAGACAAAACTAATTACTATTTACTCTGTGCCTTGCTAGAGGCTTTGCTCTTTTCACATACTATTCATTTTGTTTTTCAGACAGAGTTTCGCTCTTGCTGCCCAGGCTGGAGTGCAATGATGCAATCTTGGCTCACTGCAACCTTTGCCTCCCGGGTTCAAGGGATTCTCCTGCCTCAACCTCCTGAGTAGCTGGGACTACAGGCATGTGCCACCACACCCGGCTAATTTTTATGTTTTTGGTAGAGACAGGTTTCATCGTATTGGTCAGGCTGGCCTCGAACTCCTGACCTCAGGCGATCCACCCGCCTTGGCCTCCCAAAGTACTGGGATTACAGGCATGAGTCACCGCACCTGACCTTCACACACTATTCATTTAATCCTCAATATCTGTAAACTTTGGTGACACATCCATTTAAAATTCAGAAAATCATCTTGGCTTAGCAAGTGACTGAAAATGAAAAAATATCAAGACAACCACAACATGTCATGCTTTTTCTTCTTTTGAAACATCATCACAGTCGATAATTGGTTTATTGTTTATGACTTTTCTGCTAGAATGTAGTCTCCATGAAAGCAGGATACTTACTAGATTTTTCTTATTCACCATGGTATCCCCACCTAGCACAGTTTCCAGCAACGCTGAGTAGTCAGTATGTATTAATCAAATAAATAAAATAATAAATAAATGTGTTCATAATAGTTATGGCTTCCTGCCTCTGCTTTTTTTGTTTTTCTGCTTATGTACTGCTAATATTTCTTCAGATTAACTCCTATTTGAGATTCACCTTCTTATTTTCCCTCAACCCTTCTTAGATATCACTTATAAAATGGAATCTCTCAAGATAAGATTTTGAAGGCAAATTGTTTTTGCAGTATACTTTTTTGGAAATATTAAATACCATTTTGTGCTGGCAGGTGAAAACTGCCCAATTCCCTATTACAAAGCATCACCATGAATATTTTCTTTTGAAAATACCTACTGAGACTATTCATGCTGTAATAGTTAAGATGATTTCCCTGTTAAGTTGTACCAGATATAACTTATGTACTGTGTCATTGATAACATGTCTTTTGGATGTCATGCCAACATAACAATGTTTATTTCATAAATATATACTTTATTTTTGGGAATGCACCATTTTACTAAAGCAAAAAAGGTACAAACACATGTGTGAAGTTTTGAATGAAATCATCAATTACATGGTCAATAATATTTCGCATATTAACATACACACAAATGTGCATAGTTTACATTGTATAAATATAGGGGATTTGAATATAAAATGAAACAACTTACTTTAGCTAGTTTATTGGATAGCATTTAACAGGTTGTACTTTTCTATAGTCTAGATATCACAATTTGTACTTGCTACCCAGCAGAAACCATTTGCCAATGCTTATCCTGGGTCTTAATGGAATAATCATTAATTCTTCTTTAATTTCATGATGCAAATGTAGAACAGCAGAAGATACTAAGTTACCTTATCTGTAAATTGAGGATGATAAAAGCATAATAAAAATGTTACCTTATGGGGTGATTGTGAATATTAAATGAGCTAGTATATACAAACTGCTTAGAACAGTATCTGGCACATAGTTCATGCCACTCTGTGTTGAGTATCACTGTTTAAAAACTGCCCACAAATGACACTAAATCTAAGGAATACGTACTGTGGGGATCCTGATGAAGGACCCGTGTCAGGGTGAAGATGATTTTTGCATTGCAGATCAGCATGATGAGAAGAGGGATGATGAAGAGGCAGCTGAAGGTGAAAAAGTTATAAAATGCTTGATGCCACCATTGTGGAAAACTGCAGTGTGTTACACATTGAGAGAAAACTTTTGTCTGTCCGGAGCTGTCTGCTAGATGAATCATCCTGAAGATGTATAACTGTATGAGACAATAAAAAGCTATGTTACTTTTTACCAAATGGTATTTGAAAGTTTTCTCTTTGGTACTCCGCTAGCCTTCTAGCATGTTACCTAAAGCAATTTCTAAGTTCCTTAGTATTATATTTCTGATGTTTCTATGAAAAGTCATGTGACTATTTACTTAAAATATGTTTGGGTAAGTGTCAATAGATCTACAAGATTTTGGATTTTTAGCAATTATTTCAACCTTGAAGAATAATCATCTTTCAAGGATTTAAATGTTGTTTGTATTTCAGTTTCCAGTACAATTATGCTGAGTAAACTTTTCGCAAGTGATTTTGCTCATAAGTTATATCTGCAGTAACTATAACTGTGTCTGGCACTTAGAATGAACCCCCCAAAATACATATTTAAATTTTATTTTAGAGACAGAAACCCTATTAAAATGACATTTTAAGAAATGGTCACAAGACATGAAGAGACAGTTGCTCAAAGAAAGATGGAACATGTCAAAACAAAAAGCAAACAAAAAAACAACCGAGGAACCAGCTGAAAAGAGCTTCCACTTGCCAAATCTGGGGCAGTTTAAGCATTAAAATACAAAAAAGAAACTGATCTAAAAGAATGATAAACTATTGAATAAAGTAAGGATCCATGAGCCCATACTTGTAAAAATTACAAAATAACAAAAACAACAAATAAATGGGGGAAAAAAACCTCTTCCATAATGTAGAATGCCAACTAATAAATGAAAAGGAATAAACAGAATTAGTGATTAACATTTGGTAATCACTATACTAAGTGATTACAGCAAGAGTCATCAATAGCTGGTAAAAATAGTGGGTGGAACTTTGAGGAGAACAGGATATTTACAAAATCTCAAAGTATCAGTCTGCAGGATACTTATTCATTATAAGGAATAAAATAATCACTCTACAGAAGAGAAATATCTAGATAAGTATGTTAACATTGCCAATAATAGGACCCATTGACAATGTCTGTCTCCTTATGTAATGCATTGAGAACTGAGCATCACTAATTTGGTATTTTTGCTTTAAGTGTATAACCTGAATCTAACCTTGAGAGGACAAATCCCAACTGAGAGACATTTTACAAAATGACTGGTTTGCACTCTCCAAAAATGTCAATATCATGAAACACAAAGAAAGACTGAGAAATGGTTCCAGCTATAAGAATACTAAAGAGGTATGCAACTAAATCCACCACATAATCTTGGATTTTCTTTTGTTAAAAGGGCAAAAATTAAACTGGGACAACTTATGGGCTCTGAATAGAACATATAAATTAAATAGTGGTAATATATCAATGTTAAATTTATTTTTTATTTTGACAATCATTACTTTGGCTGTGTGTGAGAGGCCTTAAACACACTTCGAAGTATTCAGGGGTAAAGAAAAATCATGTCTACAACTTATTTTTAAGCAATTGGGAAAATGTAGATAAGATCAAATAAATAAGCAAATGTAAAATGTTAATATTTGAGAAAATTTGGGTGAAGGTATCTGAGAAATCTGTATGATTCTTGTAACCTTTCTTTGAGTGTCAAATTATTTTTAAAAAGCCTTTATCCTACAACTTTTAAAAACACAAACTGAATTAACAATTAAGAAAATGTTACACAAGTAGTTTTCAAAAATAAATTCTAGTGGACATTTACTCATTATTTCTCTATTCAGTAAACACTTCTTACCTAGTTATTTATAAGCTTTTTCCCTGAGAACTTTCATTTTACTGTGAAACACTATTAAAATGAAATGAAATGAGAGTGTAAGCATTTTTAAATTGATAGAAAGTAAATTCAAACAAAAATGTTACAATTTTTTTTATTTTAAGCAAATGAGGGATTCTGTTATTTTTTAAGTTTTTGATTGAATTAGAAAATTTTAATTTTAATTACAGTATTAAGAAACATGATTCTTTTCTACGCTACCAACAAAAAACACTATAACATATTTTAAAGATACTTTATTTTCTAAAAAACAGACATACTCCGCTCCCATTCCCATCACCTCAAAAGGGAAAGAAACCTTGGCCCTGTTAAATAAGTTGAAAAGTTGATTTTTAGTTTCAGATCTTTTTTAATCTTCAAGGGGAAAAAATGATTTTAAATTAACCCACTAGAGGGCGTCTAATAATTTTACAATCACTCTGCAGTCAAGAAACCCCAACAAGTGCATTCAGCTAAGTTTATCTTATGATTCAGACGTTTTTTCCCACATTACAAAGTGAACCTTTCAGTTTTCTGTAATTCTTTGCAAGCTGACCTTATTTAAAGTTCAGCTTTGAATTAGATCCAACAGAGGCTGTCAGTTAAAGTCTTTGGAATGGTTACTTCACGTAGAACCCGAGAATCTTATATTTCTTTAAGGTTTTAGCTACTTCTCTCTGTACCATCCCAGTTGGACTTGGAACCGGATAACCTGAATTTTACTTTTTCTCTGCTCTGGGCCACATTTTCATCTTAATATTTCATGTTTTAAAGGCATAATGATATCACTGACTGGCTGATGAAATCACAAGCGTAGGTAGTATGCTACATGAGGAGCAAGTTTTTCGCTAGCACCACAAAAGTCTCTGGCCCAATGAGTGGAGTTTGATAGTAGTTCTTGTCACAAGTATAATGTTGTTGCATGCTAGTTTTGAGGAGAGATTAACACATTTGAAAAACAGTGTTTTTTTTCTGCGTTTGTCCATATTTCTTGCTCAGGCCTCTCGGGCATTATTTGTTCTTTCTGTTTTCACACCAACTTGGTGAGTTCTGCTGTAAGATTCTAAAAGGATGGGTTGTGTGTGGTTCAAATTGGTTCATTTGTAACTGGAAAAAAATTTATAGTTTAAAAAATATGTTTTTAAAAAAAGCCATGATGAAACTTTCAATTAGCAATGACTTTGAAACATAGTACTATGATTGAGTTAATGGCTATCTTATTTAACACATGCTTATTTTTTAAGCAACTCTTTGGTAAAAGTAACTATAGCTGACATTCTCTGTCATAAAAGATAAAGCAGTTATAGCCTTCGATCAAGGAATTTAATATTTGGTAGCGGAGATATAAAATGTATGTGATCCAGGTAATACAAGATAGACCGATAAATTTTAAGAAAGGTATAATAAAGTATACAAAAATTCAGAATCTTACTTGCCCATAAATTAACTTGCTACTGTCTTAGTTCCATTTATTTTGTGCTCCAAGACCATGTTCATTTGAATGATTAATATAGAGATCCACTTTGCTTTTAGTTGTTCGTTTGTCCTTGGATTTTATTTCTTTAATTTTGGTATGTTTCTCCTCTCTTGTTCCTGACCCTGGTTCTCATCAGTGTTTGTTTTATTTTGCCATAAACAAGAATATTCTGTTTTCATTTTTTTTCACAGGCAATTGCAGTTGTTCATTTCTTCTTGGAATATTATCTTTAACACTCACCTTACCCACACTAATTACACCCTTACCTAGTGTTATCCAAAGGTAATTATCTTCTGATGTGTGCTTCAGTTTCCTCATCTATATATGGAGAAAATAGTAATATCTACCTCTAAGGCCTATCATGACAATAAATGAGTTAATACATGCAAAGCACCTGGAATAGTGCCTGGAACACAGCACTGTATAAATCTTAACCATTATTATAATTAAAACTTGAAGTACACAATTTTTATATGTATCCACATGCATTTATATATTTATACATGTGTATCATATATTTTTTTCTTGATGTCTTTTAAGCATCAGTTTTCACTTCAAGCTTTTTCTGCCTTTTTCTTCCCCAGCCTCCTATGGGTAAAAAGGAAATAGACAATATTGCAGTGTTCAGTGGGCAGAGGTGGGTAGAGTGTAGCAGTTAAAAGAGCTGGCTATGGATATGGCCATATATGGATAACTAGATATACTGATACACTGAGATGTCCACTTATTAAACAGTAATCTTGGCCATGTTATATAATATTGGAGGTTTAATTTCTTCATTTGTAAAATAAAGATAATGATTGTACATAATTTATGTGATTGTTGGCAGCGTTATATGAAATATTGCATGTAAAAGCTTATTTATGGATTTATTCACTGCCTGTTCTATGAACCTAGCAAGTAGAAGCTTTTAGCCAAATTCCTGGCACATATTTATGTCCTCAAGCATTATTTATCATCATCAACATTATTGCTGTTGTTATTTCTGCTAGTAGGACAATACTATGTTGTAGCACAATGTTTGGCATATTGTACCTGTGTGATAATATTTATTGAATTTAAACTGTTTGCCAATGTCAGTAGTGCATTCTACACCAGTAAATTCTCTATGTGTTAAGGCAAGCCTCCACACATCTTCAGACAGCATATCTTTACACTAAGGATGAAGGAGAGGCCCACATTTCTTGCCCGCAGGCCTGGGTTAACCATATAATTTAAAAGCTGTCAATATGTGATGCTCTATATTAGCACAGATAAACTAGTGTTAAGCTTAACACAGATAAGCTATGAACTCTTTCTGCAAATAACCTGCTACTCTGGAATTCTTGTGGTATTAAATGACTCTTATTAGAAACCATGTGATTTATAAGTAGATATGGGCACATCTAATTTAGGAAATGTCTTCTCTTCCATTTATATTTACCACCCTAACCACAGATGGTCTTAAACCAAAGCTATCCCAGGGTGTTTGTTGCTTTTTCATTTCCTCCTTCCCTCCTTTGTTTTTCTTTTTTGCCTTTCCTCCTTTTTCCTCCCCTTCCCTTCTCTCCCTCCCTTCCCTTCTCTCCCTTCCCTTCCCTTCCCTTCCCTTCCTTTGCCTTCCCTTCCTTTCCCTTCTTTCTTTCCCTCTTTCCCCACTTTTATGTACGATACCTCCAAGACTTGAATTACTGTGCTCTGGCATGTATAGTTTTGCAGAGTGAGTACGATAGCTTTGTGACCAGGGAGTAGTTTGGCCAAATTTAGTAATCACTCAGAATGCATGCTATAATTTTGAAATATTTGAAATAATCCACTTTTATATAAGTATTTCTTTTTGCAGTTTCTTAAAGAACCAACAATTCCATATTCATATTTCTGTACTTTTTCTTTCCTGACTTCAAAAACTCTTTTATGAAGGTAAGAAGAAAAAAATGGGCTTAGGAAGAAAGGAAAAGAAGAAAAATAAACATTAAATTAGTAATTAAAATTAAGGTGTAAAGTCTTAGGTGATTTTATAAATTGTATGACTTATTCTTTATAATTACTCTTTTAAATGTAAGTAAGTTGCTCAAAGTCACATAGCTGGTAGGTGGTATTACTGAGATTTGAGCCCAACTCCATTTGAATCTCACACTCATGCCACTTTTACTATCTCCATTGCCTTTTGAACTGTTGCAAGGAGATACGAGGTCTTTAGCAACTGTGACTGGGAGCTAGTGAATAGCCAAGTGGAGGACTGGTCCTCCTTTACCTCTATTTTAACCAGAGCAGCTCCACTTATTTCTGTGTCATTCATTATGGTTTTTTGTGCGGGACTTTTTGTATAGGACTTTTTTATATACAGGATTTTTTTTACTGTATTTTATTTTAAAGATTTTAAATAGACACATAATAATTGTACATATTTATGGGGTACATTGTGATATAGAATTTTTTAAAAAAAATTCTATTACTAGCATAAAATTTGAAAGTTTCTATGCCACACTATGCTAAAACTTCTGAGAATGCACTGCCAAATTATCACAGAACATAGCTTCCAAGGTTAATAATGAGGAAAGTGGAAAATCTGGAAGGTCAATTTGAAATTTGGTCATTCTGAGCTGAGGCAAAAATGTCATAAATTCCCAGATCTCCAGGCCTGAGTGGTGACAACATGTTTGTTAAGATTTTTTTTCAACTGAGGTATGAATTACTCAAGTAATAGAAAATCAGTATGTCCACCAAAGGATGAAAATTAAAGTTACCCTTTTCATATAAATTAGGTACAATAGGCTGTGCCTTTGTCAATGGACTTATCCACAGACCATGGTGAAGCATGAGACACACTCATCATGTGTCACAGTCTAGAAATAAAAAGCCCTCTTTCTCTCTCATATTCTTCATCAAATATATGTAACATTGGTTATGGGATTGAAATCTCTTTCATTCAGAGAGATTGCAGAGAGCCATAATAAAAGAAAAGAATAAGACAACATGAGTCCAACAGAGCACGTGACACTGGGAATGCCAATGGATCCTTTCAGATCAGTGCTTTTTGAACTGCAAGATATGCTCAGTAGTGAGTTTCAATCAGCAGTAAAAAAGGAAATAAAACAGAATAGAATATTTATTTCATCAAAATTTTTTCTCAGTTATATGTGTGAGAGAAAGAGAGACAGAGACACACATTTTCAATGTAGTGTGTGTTTCTTACTTTGAATTATTGGAAAAGGATTTTAACACCATTGTCTTCAAAGGTTTAGACCTCAGCTCCCTTATGTGATGTAGGTATAATAACACAGCTCCTATTTACTTCATAGAGTTAATGTAAATATCAAACAACATTACTTATGTGAGGTTATTCAGGAAGCTTCAGCAAAGTACTTTAAAGTGTTGTTGAAAATAAGGATGACTCATGTGTTTTACAAAATAAAATAACATCATTTTCTGTGGCTCATATTTACATAAATCTCTCTAGTAATGTATTTGAGGTCAGATTATTACATGAAATTCCTAAACAATTCAAAGTTAAGTTCCTATTTTCTTTTTGCTACATCAAGTTAGATAAATATTTGGCATTATCTTTCTATTATTGCTGTTAATACTTAGATGAAAAGAATTGGATTGATAAAGTAGTATTTCATTTATAGCTTCTAGGAGACTTCTAAGAAGAATCAAATCGTGAGTTTGCCCTTCAGTTATTGCAAATAGGATTATTTCCACTCTGGTTTGGATTTTAAGCTACATCAGCATCTCAAATTACCAACTACTTTCCACACACTTGTACTTACACAGATCTTATATTGCCACCAGTCATGTCCTAAAGCAAATGATTTTACTTCTCATAGCCTGCCTTCCCTCTCCCTTCTGCAAACAAATAGGCAGACAAACAAATACTCCCCTTCTCAACCGGATAATTTCAATGGTTTTACTATTTAAACTCCTTGGCTAAGAAAACTGGAACTTTATTTCCCCCTGCTCTATTATTAACTCTCTCAATCCAATTTGTTGTCAAGTTTTGTATTTTGTTTAAAATGTCTCTTTTACTATCAATTATCTTTGATACCACCCTAGCCCCCTGATCACCTCATTGCCAGATTTTTAAAAAGTCTTTGTTTTACTCCACTCCATTTGGGCCATTTGAGCCTACATAAACTTTCCCAAAAACTTTTTTTTTTCTTTTTTGAGACAGGGTCGCATTCTGTCACTGAGATTAGAGTGCAGTTGCAGTGGTGCATCACGGCTGTCTGCCACCTCTGCTTCCCAGACTCAAGCGATTCTCCCACCTCAGCCTCCCGAGTAGCTGAGACCACAGGTACATGCCATTATGACCAGCATTAATTTTGTTTTGTTTTGTTTTGTTTTATAATTTGTTGATATGGGGCCTCCCTGTATTGCCCAGTCTGATCTTGAACTCCTGGGCTCAAGTGATCCTCCCACCTCAACCTCCCTCCCAACCTCCCGAGTAGCTGGGAGCACAGGTGCGAAAGTGTTAAGAAAGAATGTGGAAAATTTTAAGAGCATAAGCCTTAGCTAAATCACCTCATTTCAGGTGATATGTTTGCTAAAGTTATTCTTATATATTGCATCACTGTGAAAGAAATCATAAATTTTTCTTCAGAAAATGAAAGCATTTTAGTTTTTCCCATTATTCTTATCATGACACACACACATTTTCAAAAGAAATATTAAAGTGAGAAATTGATGGGATAAAACAGTTATCCAGCTTTCTAGTGTCTTGTGCTATATAGTGAATTCTGCATGGCAATTTTTTGTTGTTGTTTTTTTGACCATCTGGTCCGTTTAAAAAGTCTAGATAAATTTCCATTTTCAGAGGCAAGTTTTGGAGGATCCTAGTTAATTCTGATTTATTTCTTGACACATCCTTGTATCCTGGGTTTATCATGTAGTACATTTACATGCAAGAGAAAACTTGTTCATCTGCTATTAATGTTCTTTGTTATTTTCAAGAATTTGTCCCTTTTTTCGGGGATCTGATTGTTAAAATGGTAGGTTCAGCAGATCAGTTAACCAGGCTGCCTCTGATGAAGGCAACCTGGGAAGATACTGCCCTCTGTGGGGAGGGCCTGTGCCTACTCTGTCAGCCATATGGCTTTCTCAATAAGCTGCCTCCAGCAAAACTCAAGTTAACTTTAGGGAAATATTTGGATTTCCATACGTCCAAGATGTCTTACTTTTCTTCTATATTCAGTACCATTTAGCTGCAAACTGCAGAGCAACATACTAATCAAGAATAATTCTGTCTAAGCTGCAGTGACAGAATTCTTAAAATTTCCACTCAAGAAACCTTAAATAAGAAACATTATAAATATTTTCTATCTAGGCAAATTTCATAATTCCTAAAAATTATCTCAACTAAACATTAAAGCCATGTCAACCAGAACAAAAAGAAAAATAGAAGAATAGAATGGAGATAAGGTCAAGTTTGAGAATCGCAATTTTTGGGGGGAAGCATTTGCTACGTAATAGGTATTATGTGATCCACTTTATCTATTTATTCATCACAAAAGCAGTATTAAGTAAGCATTAACCCCCATGTTACATTTTATCAGTAAAGGAACTGAAACTAGAGAGGTTAAGAAATTTGCCCAAGGTAACAGAACAGAGCCAGAATTAAACTTCGCTCTCTGACTTCCAGAGCCCAAGCTCTTAAAGGTAATACAGTACTTCCTTTGATAAGACCTTATATCAAATTTAGATAGGAAATCTATGATCACCATATCCAAATAAGTTTATGTATAATGGCTTACCTGTGGTCCTGCAAAGACACTACTGAGGATCCAGGCCAGGCCAACCATGGACTGTCCGAGCTTGCTGCTGCTTTTCAAAGCTAGGGGCCTCGTGATAGCCAGGGAGCGGTCCAGACTGATCACCACCATCATGAAAGCTGGGGCATACATGGAGAAAAGCTTTAGATAACTGAGAACTTTGCAGAGGAACTCTCCAGCATACCATTGGACTGTAATGTTCCACATCCCATCCAGTGGCATGACAATCAGAGTCTCCAACAGGTTGGCTAAGGTCAGATGTTTCAAGAGCAGCTTCATTCTTGACAGCTTTTTCCCTTTCTCTTTCTTCTGTGTCCACTTCTGAAGTTTCAACAGGAAAGAAGCATTAAAGGTCGCAGAGAGTAGAAAAAGGAAGAAAGTAACCGTCACTCGGATCTTTCCAGACAAGGTCAGAGTGGGGAGGTTGCCCTGCATCAGTGGGATGCTGTTGTTGATGACTGAACAGTGATTTTGATTCTGTTCAGGAGAGGCACTGTTTGCCATATTTTCCCAGGACAGAGCTTCAAGACTTGTGTCTGTGGCGCATCTGATATTTTATTGTAACCGAATCTAAAGTCCTGTTTTATTTCTACCTTCTTTAGATGGAAACGTCACAGGTTTAGACATATGTCAAATTTTGTCCCTGAGATACTTAATGAGAAAGATCAAGGTTAACTTGTTTTGTGTATTGGTAATCCAACAGAGGGCTAAAACAGAGCAGGCCAAATGCATTCTGAGGGCCACATGTAACTGTAGCACCTCAGCAGATGGCCTGGCTTTCATAACACTCTTCCTAAGTGAAGAAGGATACTCACAGCCTAATTTTGAATTTAAAAGACAGTCATGATATTATGATTTAAATAACTTTAAAATTTTTTTCTAAGAACTATTTAGCGTTAGTGTTCTGTCCAATATACAGATGTAGAATGATAATGAAGAAAAATGCAAACAACTTGATCCAATTAAAATCCATTGTCTTAAAAACACATTTCTCAAAAACATTTCTTGGTTTTCCTTTTCAAACACACTGTTGAGCACTCCAACACTGGACAAATACACTCATTTAAAATTATTCTACAACAAATTAAAACTTTACATTAGAATCAATCCAATTGGCTGCATTCAAATTTATTAATCAATCTTACTGCTCAGATCCATGCTTAAGTTAGAGTAAAACGGTTAATCAGTTTTTAAATTATTGCCTTGGTTTTTATAATTATCTAAATATTGTACTTGCTGTTCTTACACATTAATGCATAGGGGAACTAGCTATTGAAGAGAAGACTGTGTAACTGCTGTAAGTGCATTTATATGTGTTTATATTAGTGTAATATGAATATGTTCCTTTATAGGTTATCTGATCATTTCAAATTGGGACCACTTAGGAACTTTTTCTGTGTTGCTTTTTTAACTTTCATGGTGAGTGCTGGACAGTTATTTATTAATACTTGTAAGACTTACATTGGAATTTATTAAATCACCAGCTTGATTTGTCTAATGCCAACAAGTTTGCTTCTGCGGCAGCCAAAGCAGGTACAATGTTAAGGATAAAAGTGACTATTTTGACTTAGATGGTGCATTCTTATTGGTTCATTTATTATATTTGTTTATTCTGTCTTAAATATTTATTTATTTAATAAATAGTTACTAAATATTTGCTATATACATTATCTTAGCCTTTGCTGGTGATAAAAAGTGAACACAACATCATCCAGCCCCTTTAAAGAGCTTGTTACCACAGAAGGTTAGATAAGTGTTTTAGACATATCTTACGTATCTCCTCAGCTTCCCTGTGTACTGGCTGTCTCCTGAACCTTGAGCAGCTTAGACCAGTCCTGTACCTGAGCTCCTTTATGACTGTCACTATATGTCCAGAATTACCAGCTTCTCTCACTACTTCCAGGCTTGAAATATTTATATCCTCTATTTATACAGCATATGAAAGAAAGAGATTTTCTCACACCTGAGATTTGTGACCATAAAATTTTTACCTATGTCAAAACTAAGTTCTGACTCATCTAGGAGAATTACAAAAAAACAAATTGTGCGTACTAGGTTAGTTATAATAAGTTCCTTATAACCAGTCTTGACTAAGATAATTTATTTTTCTGAAGAACTCAAAAGGCTTTGCATATACATCATGTCAGTTAATCTGATCAGGGCCACATGCCTGAAATGAACAAAACAGAGTAACCATTGGAAAGACATACAAATATGAAAAGTTTTTGTAAGCGAACCAGCAACCAAAAGAACAAAGGAAAGAACATTCATGTAAAAATTCGATTTTAGTGAAGTATATTTTGCTCTTTGTCTTGTATATCTAGGGGAGAAAGATTAGAGCATAAAAGCTTCATTATTTGTCCCGTTCCCTCCCATTCCTTCCCCTCCCCTTCCCTTCCCCTTCCTTCCCTTTTCCTCCTTTTCTTCCTGTCTTCCTCCCTCCCTTTCTTTGATAGTGATGGACTGATTGAATAGGGAAGAGGCTGCAATGGAGCTGAATGGGGCTACAGCATATAGGGTAATAAGTGACTGGGGAATGGGGTATGAGGACAGGGAGGGCATGCTTAGAAGCTGGAGCAGCACACTTAAATATGAAGATAATGTGAGAAAGTTCAAAGGGTATGTGAGAGCAAAAGTGTAGATAATGAGGCAGTCTTCAAATCTGGAGAGCCTATATTCCAAGAAAAAGAGTTTAGGCTTTACCTATATAAAGAATGGAGTAATATAGGGTAGGTATGGCCAGATTTATGCTTCACAAAGCTTACTGTGTAGCATACAGAGAATGCCTTGAAGGGATTTGGTGAATAGTGGGCAATCAAAATTCAGGTGACTTAGTCTATTTGGAAAACCCTTGCTAACTACACAACATGAAAGGTATAAAGCCCTAAAGTGCAGGGTGTGGCTATGAAAGTTGGTAGAGGAAGTAGAGGGTGAATGATGTTTGACACATTTGAGGAGCTCTAAGTTGTTGAATCTAAGTTGTTGGATGAGTCAACTACATAGATTTTGAAGTGTTGTCCATATTGATACTACTACTAATAGTTAACATTTATTGGGTACTTACTCTGTGTCAGGCACTTTTCTAAGCATGTTACACATATT